AGCATAAAAATAAAAACCCTCAGCATAAAAATAAAAACCCTCAGCATAAAAATAAAAACCCTCAGCATAAAAATAAAGACCGTTCGCATAAAAAAAAGAACCCACCCAAATCCAGCATCCAGCATATAAAAAAAACCGTTAGCATAAAGAAAAAACCTATTCCCCTCATTTTTGATGTTGGGTCAGTCTCCCCATGCATCGCTGTTTCTTAAGCGTGGTCTCACCTGAAGAACCACCTTCGTGGAATAGATCCCAACTGAGTGTGTGTCAAGTGTGTGACGTTGCAAGATGAGCTAAAGACTCAGCTTCGAGGATCGTTTGTGCTCTCAATTTCGGAAAGACCGAATCGCCTGCCCATCAGTAGCTTGGTGATGACAACTGGTGACTAGTCGCTTGATAGTTGCCAGATTAGATGAGTGTTGAGTTGAGAGCAAAGTTACGATGTGGGGCCAGGCTGCTCCTAGACTGCACACCATTCTGAGTCACAGATGCAAAGCATTCCTGGCGTTGCTAAGGACCAGGTCCGCTCTGAGGCTGAAACGCTGCGCTCAATGCAGCATCCCAATTTGCATCGTGTGGTGGAGAGCTTTGAGGTGGGATGCTGCAAGCTCGAGACAAGTGGAGCTCATGAGACTTACATTTATATAGGGCCCCGCTTTCTTCCAAAGAGCGGTTTGGTTTCGCCACTGCTGTAGAACAAAGTGAAGACAGGACTTCAACAGCATTTACATCATCTCTGAGTTGGTAGACAGCATCCGCTTGCTCGCTTTTGTGCGGAGCCGCTTTGACTCCCACATCGAGATGGCTGAGGGTTGGCTCTCACAGGCAGGGAGGTAGACAGCTAAGACAGCGATGGGAGGTGGGCGGGGACCGGTTGGGGAGGGAGAGGGAGAGAGTCCGAGCGAGAGAGAGAGAGAGAGTGTTTTGGTTGCCTTGCACGAGGTGCTGCGACAAGTATTGGAGGCACTTAGCTTTTGCCACCAGCTGACGCCGCGATGCGTGGTGCATGGCGACCTGGGAATGGATAGCATTGGCCTCGCCTCCATTTCAGATCCAGCAACATCGCCACACGTGCCCCGTCTGCAGTGGCGTAGTGAGATTTAAGTATCATTTGAGCTCCTGTGTTGTTTAACGGGCCACATCTCCTCGCGAAACTGAGGTCATCATTTCAGATTTGGCATTGGCAGGATTTCTGCGACCACCTGGTAACAAGGTCACGCCGCCACAGCGTGAGGAGACCTCATTTTGGCGATTTTTTCCAAGCGACTACCTGGCTGACTTGGAGTGTTGCAGCCCCAAGCAGGATGTGTGGGCTTGTGGTTGTTTGCTGTATATTCTCCTCAGCGGTTACATGCCAATCAGTACTAATGACATCTCCTTCGGCGGGCCTTTTCAACCTCCCGCCAAAGCAGTGGTTTATGACATAGAATGGTCAAACTTGCGGCATGCTTCCGCTCAAGCAGAAGCATTGTGTTCGCGAATGCTTGAAAGCGACTGGGCAAGAGGGCGGAGGCTCCATTGATTTATATCGTCGGCTGTGAATGGCTTTGATATGCTTTGATTATAATTTTGTAATCTCCACCTTCTTTGGCTCAAGGGGGTGGGACCTTTTGTGTGACAATGGACCTGTGCATGTGCATGTGGTACCTCAATCCCCTAGTGCTGTTCCCAAAGGAATCTTCGCCACCAGTCAGGATAAACCCAAGAGTGTGGTTCAAAGTTCTTACTGTAGATAGTATTCCAGCCGATGCTTTATCATTTTGGGCTTCTCCAGAGCACCTTGCTCCCTCCACTGCATTCACCACCACCAAGCATGTACTATATAACTTTAAAAAATATAGACAGACCGATTCACACAGTTTGTGCCACAACTCAGGCAATCCCGCCCAACGTCCAACAGCAGAGGAGTGCTTGTGCTATCCGTGGTTGCAGCCTGGAGCTGCCGCGTTCTTGAATCACAAGGTGCCTTTATCTGTCTTGGACCGTCTGGTGAAGTATGACAGCCGGATTTGGGGAAGCAAGGACTGGGTGCCAGGCAGTGCCAGGCAGTGCCAGACAGTGCCATGCATCGGCAAAATTCTTTGCCACGTGCGCAGGAGCTGGTGAGCCAGGTGATGAATGAGCTCAGTTCCAAGTCAGTCTCTTCAGCAAGCAGGGTGTTTGCGGAGGCAACGTTGCCTGAGCACTTTGCCGCTTGGCTTGAAAGTTGCATTTAGCCTCCTAGAATGTTGCTGGAACAAAGGCGATTGGCAAGTTTCTTCTATGACTTAGGCTTTTAATGCAAACAGGATGTGCAGCTAGAAAATACACCTCAGTTGCACCTGAAAGAGGGGCTAATATAATTTTGTTGAGTTCATCCAGTTGGTTCGCCTATCAGCCGTGCCAGGATGGCACCTTGGACTCTATAGACAAGGTTGCAATGAGCCTCGGCAGCATCCCGTGCGACTTGAAGCGAGTCAATCACCTTTGACCTGTGTCTGTTCGCATTGACTCCGTGTTCTCAGTGCTCCACGAGGACGCCCGTGGGAGGGGTGGCGCCTCTTCTCCAGCTGGGTCTCTCTGTGCGCGCACTGAAAGAGAACAGAATCGTTGGAAGGAGAACCATGCCCATCCTAGGTACAAAGTGTTGAGAAGATCATGCGAAGTACTCAGCTCCCCTGCAAGTCTTCCTTTCAGTGTCAAGTTGTCAGCCTTGCCTTCACCTTGCCAGGCAGGTGTTTGATGTAGATGGACAGGGCACAGTCGCGCATGGCTACTTCATCCGGCGTTCCTTGCTCAGCATTCAAGTGTCGGTCTTCATTTGTGCGGAGGATCCCTCTGTTTGCCTAAGGCTGCATGGAGCTGGCTGAAGATCATGTGGCATCCTTCTCAGATCAGGCTTGAGGTGTGGGTTTTGCCATGGATCCCTTGTACAGGACCGTGCTTTGTGGCACATTTTCATTGCCGCCAAAGAGGACGGATCTTTCGGGACGAGCTCAGATTCGCATGGATTGGGATTCCTGGAAGTGAGGACCACCGTGGAGTGCTGGGCGCCGCCAAGCTGGAGCAGGTCCTTGATAGTGGCGCTATGAAGAGCCAAGGATGCCAGGCGGCGGTGTCCGCACGACCTTGTTATCGGAACTTGTTCTCCACAGTCCTACACGTGGCACGTGTGGACCGTTTGCGCCGAGGACAGCGACATGGAAGGTGCAGAAGAGGGAGGGGAACGGGCTGAAAGCGGTTGGAATGGTCTCCATGTTTGGATTTGTCCTTTGAGTTTCGTCCAAGGCAGTGCCCCACAATACATTAGAGCTGCTATGGACCCTGAGCTGACTGCGAGTGAGGTCCGCAAGACTAAAAGCATGTGATAGCAAATTCGATGTTCCAAATGTATGGCAGGCTGTTCGACAAATTGCGCAAGGAGGACCTCACAAGATTTATTCCCTTGACTTTGTGGATGCTCTCTTTGATTTTTTCCAGGAAACGAAGTGACATTTGAGGCATTGAAAGAGCCCAGAGCCTGGAAACCACGATGTTCAATGAGCCACGTCCAATGAACGCCCAGGTTTGTCATGCAGCGCCATGATGCGGCATGTGCAACGGCTGCCAAAGGCCTGGGTGCAGGGCTGAGAAGCGGAGTTGTCCGTACTGCCTTCTTGAACTGGGTGATGTCAACAATGACCACCGTCTTGAATGATTCGAACCAAGCCAAGTTTGCCATGTTCTTGTAAGCTCACCGTGACGCCTATGGCCTATGGTCAATGGCATTGCCGATGCTAGCTAAGGGCTGATATGAGGTGGGCATGGAGGCAGGAGTTGCTAGGACGGTACGAGTGGTATGAGCATTGAGAAATATGAGATTTCACGGAGTCACCTTCTGCAGGTGTCGCAGAGCAAGCACAGGCACAAGTTCCTGGTGCGGCGGGCCTTTGAAGGCATAACCGTGCCTTCTGACTGAACTTGATCCTTGACGCAGCTGTCTGATGGCATGTGCACTAGACTTTTTGTTTGGCTAGTTTGGGTTGGCACCGAACCCTGAGCCATTGCTTTGGGGAACTGTTGTTGCAGATTCGGTGGTCAGACGCTGCAGTATTTTTTTTTGAATTGCAGGCTTTGCATGACCTTAGAATGCAGTCATTGTGGACGGCATATTTCTTAATAGCTCAGGCACACCAGCCTTTTCCTCGCTTTATCTGCGTGGAGTGGATCGGCTGGCCCACCGAAATCTGGTGGCCAGCCCAAAGGTAAAATGGTTTCGAAAAGTGGTCGACTGAAGGAGATCGCGAAGAATCGCTGGTCCTTTGCAATAAAAGACTACTCAATGGCTTGACTATCCATTCTGGTGCGTTGCGTTCGCGTGATGTTCATGGACAGGTTCCAAGAGTTTGTGCTTTCATCCCTGGCTAGTTCGACTGTTGCCGAGCAACTGCTCACACGCAAATGGGATCAAGAGTCCGTTCTGACCATAGAGGCGAAGGCAGGAAACCGAGCCTGCCCGAGAGTGAGTTGAAATGCGACGCCTGGAGCAGGTGGCCTCAAGATGCTGCCAGTCTTCATCTTGGCAAGGGCAGAAAGTTGTCTACCAAACAGATTGTTCCCCATTTGCCAGACGGAACAAAGAAACGATGCAATGCAAATACTATATATACATGTATACATGCCGCATGTTGTTTGCTCGTTTCTTGCTTTAGTTTCAGTGGCATTGCGCCTCAGTTAATCATCGGCCTGGCGCTGGTGCTTCTCCTGAACTCCTCATGGCTTGTAGCCCTGATGATTGTGGCGGCCTGTCTCAGAGCGGTTTCGGCTTGAGATTGTGGGACTTCGGCCGTGGGCCTGCCTCCTTATATACTTAATTGAGTAGGCACCTACTTAAATAAGCAAGGGAGAGCTACTTAAGCTTCTAGTAACTGGACGCAGGATAGCTCACGCTTCTTCAAGGAAGCTTCCTTGAAGAAGCGCTTGCACTACTCATTTGATTCGTAGACTTTTAGGAATTTTAGGGACACTTTAGTGCAGGGTGGATGCGGGTTGTTTGCAGCCGTTCTTCGGACACTGTCGAAGGTGGGGCTACTACTATTTTTTGTCATCAACCTGATCATGCGGCAGGATACGGGTCCTCAAACTCACTCCGCGAAGCCACTGACACTTGTGCCATTTCAGGAGTCTATGCTTTATGTTCCTTGTGTCATGCCGGGCATGCAGACCCCAAGTGCCTTGGTGTCATTCCGTGCCATGAAGACAGCTAATGGAAGACGCTTTGGTGTCGGAATTCGATGTCCTCTCGAGGTGACAATCCTGAAGGCATGCGAAGCCCAGTCTTTGACCCAGATGGCCTGCATGGATGCTTGTCGCCGCCCTGCATTGAAGTTCAGATTTGTTGTGAGTCGCCTTAGTCGCTTCTTTTGAGGCTGACAGGGAGATGCCGTTCGAGGATGCCTTGCACTGAGATTTTGAGTTTGCTGTGGAATTGTGCCAAGTCGGCAGGCACGGAGGGCAAGGCTTTGGATTGGTTCCGCTAGTTGTTGGCTGGCCAAAGGTATGGATCATGGGAATCATGGGCCTTCATTCTGCTTCATTGGGCCACTGGTCCTTCAGGGCTTTGGGGTAATGAAGGAGCCTTCCACTTATGATCCATTTGAGCTCCAAACCGTGGGATCTCTAGAGTCCTGGCTCCATTGTTCTAACACAAGGGTCCTAAGGGGTTCAGGAAGGGGTTCAGGGGGGTAAAGGCCAGGTTGCAGAGAGTTTTGTTTTGTTTGTGTGCGGGACGTCTTGAGGTGCAACAAAGAGGTACAGGTACACTCTGACTCACTAACATGGAAGTGGAAAATGGTCCCTTGGAAGACCCGTTTTCTTTATGAACAGGGGGTGTTCCACTTCCATGTTAGTGAGTCGGAGTGTACGACCTTTTGTGCTGAAGTGGAGGTGTTGAGGATTCCACACCAGCACGGACCAGCACCTCAAGAATCATTTTGGCTTCGAGTGAGGTTTTCCTAGAGACCGTCGACGGTCTGCTCAGACCTCAGTCAGACTTTGACGGTGACCACCAAGCTTGTCTCAATTCACCTGATACCCTACTGGATGAAGCAACACGTAACACTGCCAGAATCAAATAGGGAGCAATTTCAAGGCGAATACATGGCTGGTTTCTGCCAGTGGGTGATGAGAAAGTGTACGTCTCAGAGGGTGGGTGTGATTGCAGGTGAGTTTGAGCACTATGCCCTGTGCATATAAGGGTATACATTTATATATAGGCATATAATATAGGTATATACTGTATACGTAGAAGCCGCACATACCAATAGAATTGCTTGGAAGGTGTTCTTTCTTTGTTCATTTTTGGTGGCCAGATGCACTCACGCATACATACAGACACATTGCCATGAGTGACCCTCAACGCAGTTTAGAGAACGAGCTTTTATGCTCAACCGCCGTTTTTGGTTTCAAGCTTGCAAAAAGGGCCACCTGAGAGTGCGCATGGCAGTTGCGAGTGAGAAAACACAAAAGCACTAGAGAGTGCGCTTGGGTATACACAGAAAGCATGCCGGGACGATAGTGGATCCGCATGCCCGACAACAGCCACCTTTATGAAGGTTTTGATGTGGAGCCGGGCCAGTAGCTGGAACTCAGTCTTGAGCCTGAGATGGGACGAGATGTCTTTGTCCTTTGTAGGGTTCTTCGGCGACGTGTCCAGGAGGCTAAAGGGCTATGGTTGAAAGGTCGGTTGGGCTACACTTGATCTACCCTTCCTATCCTGACTTTCGGGGGGGTCCTCAGTGTTCATCTGCACGGGCTTCCCTCAAGGACGTGTAGTAGAACTCATGGGAACAAGGCGCAAGTGCTCTTCGACCACACGCAAGTCTTGGAGCCTGACCAGGTCAAGGCAAAAGTGGCATGCTGGATCGAGGAAGCTTGGGTGGTATGCAACATTGACAAGGAGTGGGCTTCACCTCTTTCAATACCTCGGCTGAACCCAAGAAAATTACACAGGACGTCGCCTGTTAGAAGAAAAGCCTGTTGGTTGCCAGTGCTTTGTCAGTGTGATTTAATCCAACGCACTGATGGCAGCAGTGCATAGGGCTTTTTGGAGACGCCCATGTACTGTGCCGAAACATTGGCTCCATTACGTTCCCTTGTCAAAGAAGGTCGATCCAAGCGCCTTAGGTATATAGAGTCTGGCAGGCAATGCCGCCAAGGGATCTTACCTGAGGACTTGTGCTGAATGTGGTAGAAAGCTTCATTTTCCGGCAAGTGGGCGTGCCTTGTTTGCCGTACTTATGGTGGCGGAGTGGACCGCGCGGAAGTGTTCAGGCCAGGAGCAGCCATATCTGTATTTATTTTGCCTTGGCCATCAGTTTGTGAAGAAGAGTGACGCATTGCGCCATTGACTGGGGGCGAACGCTGTGGATGGCAGGCTTCACACCGGGCTCACCTCACGCAATTATGGAAATGGCATGACGTGGGCAAACCTTCAGCTGACGAAAGTTTCCGCCCATCCGAGGGTGGAATTGATGAAGTAGCCTGGCAGGTCTGAACTCCAGTTCCGGGCACTCTTTTCGATGTCAATTATTCAAGCGACTTTTGGAGTCTTGGAGCAGGGAAGGCGTTGGGTGTGTGTTCAACGCCCGTGGTATTCACACCTATAGTCGGGCCGGCGTGGACGTGCTTACTTCACAGTGTAGCGGAAATCCATGATGAACTGCCGCCCGCACTGTGTCCCCGCGTGGACACCCGGGCGATCAGTCTGCCGCCTGGGCGCTGGTGCCGCTGCAGGGTGCCGTGTGCACTTTTTCGTGAGATAGCGGGAGCTATTGGGTGCAGTGGTGCTGGCGCCGCAGGGCGGCGCTGCCAGATGTGGCCAAGTGCGCTTGGAGCTTGGGTGCTGAAGTGCCAGATGTGCAGCCTTGTGCGCTTTGGAACTTGGGTGCTGGGGGCGTGGAGGGTGCCGCTGCCAGATGTGTGGCCGTCCACTTAGAGCTTGGGCGCTGGCGGCCGTGCGCTGCAGGGCGGCGCTGCCAGATCTGCGCTTTGGAGCTTGCTTGCTGGTGCCGCTGCAGGATGCCCCTGCCAGATGTGTGGCCGTGCGCGCTTTGGAGCTGGGGCGCTGGTGCCGTTGCAGGGTGCAGTTGCCAGATGTGCGCTTTGGAGCTTGGGCGCTAGTGCCGCTGCAGGGTACCAACCTGTCTCTGGCCTTTCATGCGCATTGGAGCCAGTGTGCTGGCGCTGCTGGCGGGCGCTGCAGGGTGCCGCTGCGTTGCAGTTTATTCTGCCTGCGCAGGTCTTTTTTCCCCAAACAGTTTACTGTTGGGGTTCTATCTTAGAAAGAACAGAGCTGGCCACACTCACTGGCCGCGCCCTGAACACTCTGTGGCTGGGCTCTGTCCAGGCCTTGTCCTCCTCTTGTTTTCCTTTTGGCCGCGCCGGGCTCTGTGTCCAGGCCTTGCCCTCCTGTTCTCCTTCTCTTGGCCGTTCCCCTGAACTCTGTCAACTCTGTGGCCGGCTGTGCCCCTGAACTCTGTCAACTCTGTGGCTGGGCTGTGTGGCTAACCTCTGTGTCCAGGCATTGTCCTCCTGAACCCTGTCAACTCTGTGGCTGGGCTCTGTGTCCAGGACTTGTCCTCCTCTTGTCCTCGTCTTGGCCGCGCTCTACAGAGAGAAAGACAGAGAAAGATATATAAACTTAAAGAGAAAGAGAGAGAGAGAGAGAGAGAGAGAAAGAAAGAAAGAAAGAAAGAAAGAACGAAAGAAAGAAAGAAAGAAAGAAAGAAAGAAAAGAAAAGAAAAGAAAAGAAAAGAAAAGAAAGAAAGAAAGAAAGAAAGAAAGAAAGAAAGAAAGAAAGAAA